CGTCGACGCTCCCGCCTGCAGTGGGGGACAGCAAGGTGTCGGTGTCCTGAACACCCAGCCCGCTGCTGGTGCTTCACCCCCCCGGTGAAGCACCCACCCTGGATTTAATTTGGGAATCTCAGGGAGAAGGAAATTCCATCCCCAGGCCTACAGGCTGGGCTCCTGCTTCGTCCCCAGCCCTCCAGCATCTCTCTGGTGCTTGCAGGTGCTGGAAATGGGGCTGAAACTGTATTTCTGCCCCTTCGGATGTGTGAGGCTGATGGAGGACCAGCCCCAGCAGCCTCACAGCTGTCCTGAAGCTTTCAGGCACCTCCTCTTGCATGATTGCCTGGGGACACCTTAAATATAGGCAATGCCCTCTCACTCAGTCGGGGAACCCTGCTTGCACTGGGGACGTCTTTGCATTGCCAGCTCTTTGGAGCCAGGCTCCTGTTCAGAGCGACGCTGCCCTAACGGTACAAATGACGGTGCAGGGGACGCCGGCGCAAGAGCCAGATTGCTGGCAAGGGCAGCAGTCCCGATGGGACAGGGAGAGTGAGTAAGAGGGGGAAAGATGCCAGGTACGAGACCTGCCTTTCTCAGTGAGAGATGGCCCTCTGAGACATTTGCAATGGAGAACGCCACCGGGTACAGGAGCCCCCCTCCCTCCCTGCGCTCAGCTGTGCTCGGCCAGGACAGCCCCTCGCCCAGCACACCCCGGGTGCCAGTGGGAGAAGGAGGTGCGCTGGGCTTCTCTGTGTTCCTGCAGGTGTGCACTAGGGAGGACCAGGCTATGCCATGAAACCTTTGCAGTGCCAAAAACACGCACACAAACACCCCGGAGAAGACAGACGTGCCCCTTCCCAACACACCGAGGCACACGGAAACACCCACGAGCACACACGTGTGCGTACACATACGCTGCTCACCCCCAGACACGCGCGGCTGCGCGTCCACGGGCAGCAGCACACACCGACACACACTTACTGCACGGCACGCACACCAAGGGGGGTAGGCACGCACAAAACCACGAGCGCACACGCACACAAACAGGGGTGCAAGACGCACAGAAAGCACAGGAGCCACAGACAACACGCGCCCCCGCGGCCCACATACAGGTGGCTGCTGCGTGGCTCCCACATCGACATGTGGTGTCTCCTTCGCCTGTCTCTTCTGGGGAGGAAAAACAAATGGGTTCAATTCCCCCTTCACCCTTCCCTCGACTCGTGTGGGCAACGCAGAGAGGTATCCCCCCGCCCCAGGCAGCCGGCTTCTCTGTGCCTATCGGCCACCGGCTGCTGGGGTGCCGGAGTGCAGTGGCCGGCAGCAAACCTCCTGCACGTACGCGCTTGCACACCGGCAGCGAGCTGCCTGCAGGGCTGCCCGCGCTCACACTCAAACGCGCTGCACCCAGATTCCCACGCCCCACCACGGCACACGTCGCTGCCACCCGGGGAGGTGCAGGCAGCAGTGCCCGTGCGGGGGATGCAGATCCATGTCGTGGGGGCGGCGGAGCCTTCCCCGCACTGGCCAGCCATGCAGCAGCGGCATGGGGGAGGGCACTGCAGGCTGCAGCCCCTCAGAAGCCCTGGGACATCCTTAGATATTTAACAGCTCTTTCAAACTCCTCCGAATTCACTTCTCCCAAGCAACACGTGGCAATTTTGCAGAGGAAGCCGTGTGTCAGGCCAGCCCCGAGCTGCTCAGAGCCATTGCCAGGGGTTGATGCTGCCCTGAGACCGCAGAGGGGCACATGAAGCTCCCCAGCAAAAGCGAGGCACAAGCCCAGGGCTGAGGCACCGCAGAGCCCCTTTCACCTGAGCAGCCCCGACACAGGGAAGCCTACCAGGGCTGTCAGTGCCCTTCACCCCCACTGCCTTCAGGCAGCTGGGGAGATTTAAGGCTTTATCCTTTGTATCGGCACAGAAAAGATTCAGATATGCACAGCTCCAAGCAAAAAGCCATGAGCATATGCAAACGTGCGCACAGTGATTTACAGGTTTTGCTTTTTGCAAATACCCTTCTGTGTGTGCAGGACACGCAAGCAAATATGCTCCGACCACGTGGGGCCAAGTGCCCGCGTGCACACAGAGCTCGGCAGGCGAGACGGGGCACACCTCGCTGCTGTCCTGCGAATGCAACGATACCCTCAGCCCCCGGGGGAGTCACGCTGGTGACCGACTCCTTCCGGCCACACGCATGGGAATGGCCCGCTGCCACGCTGGAGGCAGAGAGCAAGTTGCAGGCGCCCGCCGCCATCCCCGCAGCAAGCGGCCCGGCCTTCAAACGCATCCACGCACCACGTTAGGCACCAACACATGACAGCATCCGCATGCGTCCATCTGGCCACCCACTCATCAAACAGCCCCGAGCCATCTGCACCAACGGCGCCCATGTACAGATACAATACTCCGATCGGCACCGCAGCCGCCCACGCCAACCTGGCCACGTGGGAGCACTCATCCCCGAGCACCACCGGACCTCTCTGCAGGCAGGAACTCGTGTACCAAACCTGCCTGCGCTGGGTACCCACATAGAAATGAAGCCATCTGTGTCTGCACACACCCAAACGCAGAGACCGGCTCAGCTTCGCTGTCCCGAGTTTCCAACAGCCCTTTGGTACCGGCTCTGCTCTGGCTTCTCCCTTGCTACAACGTCCCCACCAGCCCTCCCCGGCTGCTGGCATCAGCATTGCACCACCAAAGGCATCTCAGACCTGATGCTGGAGATGATCAGACCCACAGCACCGCACCCCCTTCCTGTCCCTGACACTATCCATCACGATGAGGGAGAGGAGCTGGAAAACAAACCTGCAAATATCAATACCTCCCATTTCAATGACACTAGAACAACAACAAAAGGTTCAAGAGATCTGTTTTCCTAATCAGCTAGATCTGACAATGGCTAGAGAACTCTAGCACAGATGTGCAGAGTGGGCAAATCCTTTAGTGTCCATCTCTCCCTCTTCCTCTCCTATCTGTCCATCCTCCAGCCTCTTCTGCTGTCTATATCCCTTTATTCCCTCGCTTTATCTGACACGTTCCTGCCAGTAGCCAGAGACAGTCACAACACAGAGACTCTGCCATCTCTCCCATAACCCTCCCCCCCCCCCGAACCTGCCCAGGCACAGATTTATTATGAACATCCCATCACCCCCAAAGCAGGATGATATCTGGAGCTGCTGGGAGACCAGGGAGGGCTTACAAGTACCCCCAGCTCCTGCGGCCCCTAAAACCAGGGGTGATGCATGCAGGATGGGGGACCATCACATCCCACCACTGCCCAGCCAGGGAGCTGGGGCCATTGCCAATGCTGCCTCCGACCCCTCCCCAGATCAGTGCTCGCCTGAAGACAGCGGTTTCTCTCGGCAGATCTGCAAGAGATGCTGCCGTGTACAAGCTTGGCTGGGTTTCAAAGCATAATGAAACCTAAAATTCCCTGGGAAGGGATTCTGTAAAAAAAAGGGGAAAAAAAAATCCTTTCAGCTGTACTGAAATGTACTGTTTTGGGAAACAAATCAAAACGCCTCGTTCCAATGTTGACTTTGAAAGTTTTATGTGATTTAGACCATATGACACCGCAAAATAAAGGGAAAAACGGCGTCTAGAAAGGAAAAAACAGAATTTTCTTCTGCTGAAACGCAGAGACAAGGCTCCTTAACACTATGCCAGGGGTTTATGTGGTTTGGGGCTTTTTTTCTTGCCCAGATCAAATTTATGTACAATCAAACATGGTTTCACAAACCTGCTCCATCTCTCATAACTGCATTCACTACCAGGGAAGGAGCCCGGGGGAGATTTGTGGTATCGCTGCTCCCTTCTCCCCCAGCCCTGGCTGCAATCCCACAGCTCCACCAGAAAGAAACGCTCTCTGGGAACAAGTATCACCCCTCCCCAAGAAAAAACGGAGATACTTTCCTCCTCCCCAGCCTCCTTCCCCACCCCTAGCTGCAGCCCTGAGTGTTTGGGGCAGAAAGCCTCTTCTAAGGGATTTCTGCCATGCCCAAGCTCTGAGGCTGCTGCCTGGGGCAGGAGTGGGCAAACCCAGGTCCTGCGGGGTTCAGCTGGTCCCCACTCCCAGACCTCTCCGAAGGCATTGCTGCTTGCAGGGAGCACGCTCCTCGATCTCCATCCATCCTTCAGGAAGACACCCGGAGAGGGAGTCACCCCATGCGGGGACCCCTTTACATTGCGGCGGCCCCGCAAACAGCCGTGCCAGGCTCTGCTTCAGCTCTCCACCCTGCTGAGAAGCCCCGCTGGGCTCGGGGGGGCAACCGGGGTAGCAGCGGAGGGGGTCACTCACTCGATAGCAGGCATGTTTGGGGCGGACATGGGGCTGACTTCTTTGGCTTTCTGAAGGGCGTGCTTCTGATTAAAGGCCTCCTCTTCCTCCTGCTCGTCCTGCGGAGGAAAGAGGGGAGTTGCTTAGTGGGGTGCTGGGGTTTCAAGGGAAGGTGCAGCCATTGGAGGCAGCGAAGGATGCACAGGGCTACCTTAGATGCCAAGGCATGCGGGAGAAAAGGGGAGCAGGCACTTTATTTCCAGAGCCAGCCTTTATTTTATTATGGGGACGCAACTTCCCCACTACGCCAGACGTTACTGAAGGCATCGGCGCGACTTAAATAAGTGAACCCAGCCCACTCCAGGCAAGATCTAGGCTGTGCACGCTAGAACAACCCTGGACGGCATAGACCAGCTCAGCCCTCCCTCTTCACAGCCACAGGGGCGAGACAGGCATCCCCCCGATGGAGTGGGAGGCAAGGCATCCATGAATGACCCCAGCAGAGACCGTATTGCTTTAATGAGTATGGTTGTGTCTCCGGAGCAAAAAATGTCATTAGGAGTCATTAGCGCGCATTCAGCCTTTTCAAAAACTCAGCGCTCTCTTAATTGATGCTGCTGGCACGCCATGGGGCTCTCCCACCCCTCTCACCCCAGCAGCAGCCGGCAGCCCCTGGAAGTGCCACCTGCACCCGCCGTGGGAGGACAGGGACCCCTGCATGCACCCCTCAGGCAAATGAGCCCCATGCCCCACTTCTTTCCTGCTAATGGGTCAGATTTACACCAGCGTGGAAGCCTCTCAGGAAGCCCCAAGGATCTGAATAATAGGCACGGGCTCTGCAAAAATATGGGCACCGCGGGATTGCTGGTCCCCCGCAAAGAGCAGCAATGACCCTTGCAGCTCTTGCCTGCTCTCTGTTATCCAGATGGTGCCCCAACATTTTAGCATTCCCCAAATATTTCCCAGTATGGTCTTAAAAACAGCTAAGCCAAATAACCTTCTCAAACACCATCCTAAATTGCATCCTAAATCACATCCACTGCCCTGCGGGCAGATGGGGAACAAATACTGACACCACTGGAAAGCATCTCCAGACTGCTTGGGCAAATAACTGTCCCCGCATCAGACCCCATCAGACAGATGAAGGTTATCTCGATCTGACTGGAGGGAAATGAAACTGGAGAGCTTAAATGGAGAAATAGTTAAGCCACACTTGATAGGAAATGTGGGTGTTCCTGGAGAGTCACGAGACCAGCAGGTTTAAGCAGTTCTCTAAATCGCAGCCTAAATGGCTTGGCCCAGTGATACGGGTTTGTGTTTCAGGGGACCACCCTGTGTACCCTCCTGGAGGAAGAGCCACCACTTCCAATTTGACCTGACCTCTTTCCAAAGCAGGCTGAGCTAAAGGACAAGGTGGCCGCAGCTCTGGAGCGAGGACAGTCACAGGCAGCGCTCCCCAGCCCCCTTCTTCACTCTCTTCACACCAGCAAGAGAAGAAAAAAGAGCAACTGGAACGTACCTTGGTGAGCTCCTGAGCATTGGCCAGGTTGTCCACCGCAATAGCCAAGAACACGTTCAGCAGAGTATCTGTGAGCAGCTAAGGATGCACAAGGCATGTGTTAAGGACATGGGTGTCTGCAGCCACCAAGGGAGGGTGGCCCTGATGGCTCCTCACCAGCTCAGTGAGGAGCAGCCAGAGGGACAAACTCCTCACCCATCCCATATACACAGCCCTCAGTGCACCTCCAAACAGCTCCTTCTCTGCATTTGGGATATCCAGGGCTGCTGTGATGGGACTCCCTCAACTGGGAGAGGAGGAAGGAGCAGTGGGTGGGGAGGGGGGAGCCAGAGAGGGAGATGAGATGGGGTTGTCTCCACTAAAAGCACAGCAGCTAGGTGGATACAGTTTCCAAACAAGGTGAGGACGATGAAATAGATGGAGGACCACATGCCTGAGCGAACACCTCCCTGGGAGCGTATGCCGTTGTACATCACCTCATTCCAGTCCTCGCCTGTCAGGATCTGCAGGAAAGCAAGCCAGCAGTTCTGTCACCCGCACCTTCTCGTCACCTGGACAGCCCCCTCTACCCATCCCACCAATGCCCAGGAGCCAAGTACGGAGACCCTGGCAGCAGATAACCCTGCTCCACAGTTGTAGCACTTGAGGGAAATTACGTTGGACATTGCTGAGGATTTAGGTCTCCTCAGAAGAGTTTTGAAACTCTTCCACCTTCTGTAACAGAGTTGGAAGAGTTTCCATCTCTTGCCATCCACTTTGTTATGCAGGAGGAGAGGGGGAAACAGTCTGACATTTGATGGAGGGCAACTTGTTTGGTTTAAAGAGCCCCTTCCAGGCAGGGGGGAGTGAGCAGGTGGCCCCTAGTCCCTCTGTTTGTGTCCTCTTGCTGCCCAGCTCCTACCTGGAAGACTGTCATAATGGCCGCGGGGAAAGTGTCAAAGTTGGCTGATGGTGTCCCATCGATGAAGTTAAACCTGGAAGCAGAACAGGAAGGACATAAACAGGCTGGACTACCAAGGTCATCAGAGCCCTGACTGCTGTGCTATCAGCTCTCTTGTGCTTAGGAGGACCATCCCCCAGGTCTCCTGAACATTTGCTGCCAGAACCCAAAAGACCTCTTGGCCAGAAGGAACCACGCAGCCCAAAGCACCCCCCGAGCAGAGACTTTTGTATGGGAGAAGTACCACTCTTAGTAGCAGGCTGAGAGGCAAGGCTACAGTCTTCCTAGGCACCTAAAAGGTTGTCATCACTTAGTTTTAACACCAAGAAATTCCTGTTCCCCAGACTTGAAATGACCTACCTGCCTCCAAACAGCTGCATTCCCAGCAGGGCAAAGACTACAATGAAGAGGAAGAGAAGGAAGAGCAGGCTGATAATAGACTTCATGGAGCTCATCAGTGAGACCACCAAATTCCTCAGGGATGCCCAGTACCTACAAAACAGAGACCTTGCTGGAGCACTCGCAGTGACGCTGACAGAAGAGCAAGAGCAACTGGATCTGGGCTGCAGCCACAGTCCGAGATGACGGGCGACAGGCACAGACGGTTGGTACATACTTGGTTATTTTAAATATTCGCAGGAGACGAAGGGCTCGCAGGACACTGATCCCAAAAGAGGTTCCTGGTCTGAAGATAGCCCAAACCACTTCAAAGATGCTTCCCACTGTGACCTGAGAAGCAGACATGGCCATGAGTCAAAGACAGGCTCGGGAGAGGCTGTTGCAGGAAACCTTCATGTGCCTGAAGACAAGGCACCCACCATCCTACCCAAGACCTGGTACCTCGGTCTGGCACGGGCAGGCTGTCCCAGCAGAAAGGGCTCCCCTGCCCACTGTGAAGGCCATCCCCTTCTTCTCCCCCTTGGTGCCGTGCACTGCAGACACCCGCCAAACATCTCCCACACACACCCCCAGCATTGCTGGGGCCGCTTACCCCACAGTCGAAGCAGTTGAAGGAAGAATGGAAGTAAAGGCGTGGCCCCATCCCGTACATCTTTAAGGACATCTCCAGGAGGAAGAGCCCAAGAAACAGGAACTCTGCATAGTCTGAAAGAGAAAACCCAGACATGCTACCCTTGGGGGACCAAGTTGCACAGACCATCCTGCGTGCACCCACCTGTGGTCCATATAGCACACCACAGAGATGGGACAAGTTGAGGACCATGCTGCTTCCCCAAGCTCTCAGGGTTTGGGATGAGGGAAGCTTGTCTGTGAGGAGCTAAATTGTGTGTAACAGAACACCAACCCCTCAAGTTAATCTTTCAGGGTAGGTGCACTTGTGTCCCAGGGGTTTGAGAAAACCAGAGATGGCCGACGTGGAGCAGAGCAGCTCTTTAGCATTATATGACAGTGGTTGAGGCATCTGCAAAGACATTAACCACACAACACTGTAGGGGAATATTAGCAAGCTGGATTTAAATCATTGCACGCCTGGAACTTGGCCAGGGTAACCAAGCTGAACAGCCAAGAGCCAGCGAAAAGCTACTCCAGCTATTTCATGAGCATTAGCAGGCAAGAGTCTGGCTTTTCACCTTGTCCAAAAGATGCTTCTCACCACGACCAGCTGCCGTACCACACTGTGGCATGCTGGGATCCCGGCAGGCCTGAGGACGCTAATGCAAATTTGGGTAGGCCCGGTGCTTGACAGGGACATTCTCAAGGTGAGTAAGAATAACATGGCTGAGAAAGCAGCACTGTCCCTACTGCAGCAGCTCAGGAGTAACACACAGCTGTCGTGGGGTTGACCACGCTGCTCTGCAGTTAGCACCATGCTAGAATAGACATGGGCATACTGCCTCCAAGACCTGACCTTGTACTATGTCCCATGGTGGGTTGGGGGATGCTCCAGTAACTGGTTTCAAGCTTGGGATCTCCATGCCATGCTCTGCACCAAAACTTTAACCAGGGGGTTCTCCCATGACCAGTCCCATCCCTGCAAATTCACACCTTTCCAGCAATTGCCTGTGGGCACTCAAAGATGGATCTCCAGCAAGCTTTCCATCACCACTGTTCACAATTTTAGGACAAACCCACCTGAGATCAGCAGTCTGTTTCTCTCTCTCAATAAATACATCGGACCTGAAGGATATGAGGACAGTAAACCTCCTCCACATTTGCCCACAGGGCTAGGACAGCCATCAGTGGCCATGGGGCCAAGGGCAAAGCTGAATTAAATGGCTGTACACAGTCCTTTTTTTATCAATGGTGAAGGTAATTCATATTATTCCCCATCCAGCTCCATACCAGCATGACTCTGGTGGGATTCATCCCCACGTGCCCTGGGGCAAGGAGTGAGGGCATGCTGCAACCTCTGACTGCTGGAGGTAAGAAAGCTGCAGGAGGTTTTGCCTGCCCATGCAGTACTCTCACACCTATGCAAAGCCCAGGGACTCACAGAGGAAGTGGGTGAGCCAGGCTGGCTGGTTGTGATGGACGATGGCCACGCAGGCAGTGTTGAGAGCCACCAGGCTCAAGACGATCCAGTAGAAGACCTGTGATTTCACCATGTGGCGAACGGAGATGCGCAGGAGTCGCTCCTTGTGCCGTAAGTAGGAGGCACCGTCCACCCTGGCACCTTTGAGGCCAGAATGGCTCAAGGGGTTACCTAAGGAAAAAGCAAGGGGAGAAGGAGTTGAGTGCTCCAGTCAACGTGAGAGAAGGAGTTGGGTGCTCCAGCCTTCCTCGCAACATGAGGCAGGACAGACGGGTCACAGGCATTGTTCTTGTGGGACATGACTTAATGACACAGTTTTTAAATGGTAGAGGGGGCAGCGGGTGGTTTGCCCCTTTTGCTGTCAAACTAGCAGAGATGGCTGATCTGTGACAATCTCCACGTGATGGGCATGACCCTTGCAGCTCAATAAACTGGCAGAGGTCTTGGGGAGGAAAGCTCCACACTACACTAACCCAAGGTTGGATGAAGAGGTCTTCTCTGCGCCAGCCTCCGCTCGCCCACGGAGGATATATCGACGCAGTGCTCGTCGCTCGAGTCACGGTTCATGGCGTCCGTCCGGTTCCTTTTGATGGTGGCTCGCCTGAGCACTGGTAAGGGAAGAGGAAGGGGTGTTGGTGGCCCAACTCTGCCAGTAGCCAGCTCATTGGACCGTGACCTGGTGATCAGTACTTGGCTAACTCAGGTCTGATAATAGGATGGAGATAACCAGGTGGCCCTAGTCCAGAGCTATCCCTCTGTGGGACCAGACATCTCCTGGCCTCCTGGCCTGCTCTCTTAGGGGTTACACTGTCAATCCATTTCCCCACACCCCTCTCTCAGGCCACAAATCCCACTGGGGCATCCCCAAACCTCCCTCCTCTCATCGCAGCTAGAGGGTTTCAACCTTCAGCTGCGGGCAGGTAGAAGGAAGGGCAGGCAGGTGGTTAGGCAGGGCATCGCTTGTCTTACCTTCTAAGGCTGAGGTCCCAGAATTTTTGTTCTCTTCAGCCAGCATGACTTCCTCTACGCAAAACACAGAGTTCAGCATCAGAAGACAAGACACAGTTGGCTGGGCACATTAGACCTCACTGCCTTGTACCTAAGCACTTTGCCCAGCCTGGAGGTGGTTGCTCTATGTGGCAAACTCTTATCAAGTATTGGTTAAGTGTCCAAAAGCAAATTCTGAAGGGCAGCAGGTGGTAGCTACCACACATTGCATCAGAAAGAAAAATTATTTCTCATCAACCCTTCTTCCTCCACTGTAATTAACCCCACTAAAGGAGCTGAACATTGTAGACAGGTCTGGGGCTCAACATCCCAACCCAGGACCAAAGGTCAGGTCTGGGGCTCAGACCTCATTTCAAGTTACCATCCTTTCTTAGGTCTGAACACTAGATGATAGTGTAGATCTTCCCTTCCCAGAGCCGAACGCACTGAACTGATCCCTATGAGATGCAAGCAAGGAGAGGGGCTGTTGCAGTTTGGGGACCAGGACCCATGGCCTGTCGCACATGGCTGGGTGTCCGCAGGAAGCCTGGAAACTTCCGCTATCCCCAGCCTTCACCCAGATCTCCAGATGGGAACCCTGAGCTGGGAACCAGTGAGTGCATCCCCTCCAGTCTGCTCCAGGAGCAGGTTTAACTGGAAAACCACTGTCACCATCCACTGCTCTACTTTCCCCCTGCCCACCACTGCAGGGGACTCCAGCAAACACCAAGAGAAAGGAAACCGTGGCAGAGCAAAGCTTGCAACAGTGATGCTCACAGCCTTCCCTGGAGATGTAATATGCCTCATGTTCTAAATATGACAGTTTCATGCCACAGAACATGAGGTTTCATCAGCTGTTGGCAAAGCCCTTGCTGGCAGCCTGGCCAGACCATTGTACCACCTGGGACCGAGCTCACCCATGCACCCAACGCCACCATGCGAGCACCTGTGTGACTTTGGGGTCGTGCTGGATGAT